TAATTAATTAATTAGTTAATTAAATATTTAAATTAAATTACAAATTAAATAATTATTTAACTATTTACCTCGAGAAACTTTCAACATAAACATTTCCTCTCGCCATTCTCTGTAAGACTTTGACTGGGTAGTAACTAACCAAATAGCTAGATAAATAGCTCATTAAAAAGACAATTAATTAATTAATTAATTAGTTAATTAAACATTTAAATTGAATTACAAATTAAATAATTATTTAATTATTTACCTCGAGAAACTTTCAACATAAACATTTCCTCTCGCCATTCTCTGTAAGACTTCGACTGCCGAATTGAGCGAAGACCCACAGCGCTGTTTCCCGCGATGTAAATTCCCTTCTCTTTCAGGTAATCCACAATTAGCCCTAAAACAAAAAATAAATAAATAAATAAATAAATAAATAAATAAATAAATAAATATATATATAATGAATAAATAAATAAATAAATAAATAGATGAATAAATAAATAAATAAAAATAAACAAATACATAAATGAATAATAAAGGGACTCGGCGGCGTAGAAGAGTCCAAGTGAAGTATATTTTCATTTAAATTGAATTAAATAAACCTATAAAATAATATCAAATTAATTGATTAATTTGATTATTTAATTAAATTAAATAACTAATTTAATTTAATTTAATTTAATTAATTATTTAATTTCAATTTGTCTTGCCAGTAACAGCAAAAGCCCCATAATGCCGAAACTTCGCCTCGTCTATATATGCCACAGCTTGGTGGAGAGCTGCAACAAAAAAAAAATAAAATAAATAAAATAAATAAAATAAATAAATAAAAAATAAATAAAATACCATAATGCCGAAACTTCGCCTCGTCTATATATGCCACAGCTTGGTGGAGAGCTGCAACAAAAAAAAAATAAAATAAATAAAATAAATAAAATAAATAAATAAAAAATAAATAAAATAAAATAAAAATAAATAAAATGAATCAGATGGATTAAAATAAATGAATAAATTGTAATTTATAGCTACAAAACATTTAAAATAGTGGTAAATAATAATAAATAGTAATTAAGAGAGAAAACCGGGACAGTGACTATTACGCAAAATGCAAAAAGTAGTAAATTTGAATGAATTAAATAAAATAATGAATTTAAATTTAATTTAAAATAAAATAAAATAAAATAAAACAAAACAAAATAAATTAAAATAAATGGGAGATATAAGGAATAGTAAATGAAAAAAGTGGATAAGTGGAGAAGATGAAAAAACAATTCAGAAAAATAAATCGAAAAATAAAAAGAAACTTGGA